CTCACACAAGATTACATCGGTTGAGCTACATCGAGCGTGCTCTATGTCCAGAGTGATGTAATCTCTCTTTGACCGTAGCTCAGTCAAATCAGCTCGGATCAACCTACTTTAATCATGGAAATGAATGTCTAGAGCAGGGGCATCGTTCCCATGCAGTGGATCTCGCAACAATGATGATTGGATAAAAGTGGCCGTTAGCTGGCAATACATGCCTGTTCCTAGATGATCCATAAAGTAATTATACATTGACCCTTTCATTCATGCAAACGTAGCTGTGTTACACAACACGACCCTCTGCATCTTTTGCTCTGTCAGGGTCTAGCTACTTTACATTAAACAAAGACCACTTCTCATATAGCATCAGGCTTAAAAACATAAAGGTGCCTGTATTTCCAAACTTTACAATCAAACGTGGGGTTTTGAATAGAGCAATGTGCTCGGCTTGGCCAACAGCACCTTGTGTGAAAATTTCGCGTTCAATGTCGCAAACAGCCCAAGAAATATTTTTTTGGTCGTCGTCGTCGAAGAGGTCGACCCCCAGATCCAGTTTGGCTGGTGGCGACATTGCGAAATCTGGGATTGGCAAGCTTGATCGTGAAACTGGCACCCAAGGTGCAGTTGGCCAAGCCGAGCACATTGCTCTAATAAAAACCCCACGCTTCATTGTAAAGTTTGGAGATACAGGCACCTTTATGTTTGTAAGCGTGATGCTATATGAAGAGTGGTCTTTGTTCATTGTCAAGTAGGTGGACCCTGACAGAGCAAAAGATGCAGAGGGTCGTGTTGTGTAACAGAGCTACGTTTGCATGAATGGAAGGATTGATGGATTATACTTTAAGGTCTATCTACAATAGTCCATATATTGCGCGCTATCAGCCATTTCCTCACAATCAGCGTTGTTTCAAAATCCACTGCATATGAACGATTCTCCTACTCCAGCCGAGCATTTCCATCATTCAAGTGTCTTGATCCGAGCCGATTTGACTGAGTTATGCTGGAAGAGCAAACATGAAAATTCTTGAAAGACAGACCCTGCGAATGTCTCCGTCTTTCAAACTTGTGGACGCTCCCATTCAAAATTTTCAAATGAAGTGTGAGGTATCTATTATGAAAAAGTTGATCAGCATGCTCGAGAGCACCCTTCTGACCAATTTTCATGTTGGAGGTAGGCAACTTCGGGGCGGTGGCCCGTCCGCTCTTTTGTTCCCATCATCCACCGTTTGGATCCTCCCGCATTCAAGACATTCTTAATGAAGTGTATGGTTTTTAAATGAATTAAGTTGATCAGCATGTTGCAGCGAACCTTCTGACAAAGTTTCAAGTTCGAAATGGGGAATCCCAAGATAATACATAGTATTTCGATGAATCATGAATCTGGGGCTGACCTGCATTCCGACTTACATAGTAAACCCCACATTATACCCTCCCATTCCAATTTTTATAATGAAGCATGGACTCTTTTTTAGATCAACGTGATCAGCATGTCCAAGAGCACCTTGTGTGAAAGTTTCAGGTTCGAGAGGGGCAATCTCAATATCAAGGTTTGGTGTACAGTGTTCATGCATTTATACAAGAGGTGTCCGATCTATTAATTTCCACTTCTTCCACTCCTAGCGTATTGCCTTTTCCTCCCATTCTCGATTGTTGTCCCATTCAAGTACATACTACTACCACCTGCGAACGATTGTCCTGCTTATGTCAATCCTACAATTGCCTTGATCCGATTGTCTTTGACTGAATGGCAAGTCCATGGCGTGTGCATAGGCTTCTTGTCACTCTCCTACAACACACGAGTCTCTTGATACAATGCACGCTCTTGCACGCTTCCCTACCACGATCAAACGCAACAGCATGCATTACAGCAGCTGCCATTAGCAATGTCTTTTACTCCATTGTCTCAAACAACGTTCACAGCCTTGTCGCTCTACTACAACACACGCTCTTGCATACTATTCCGCCACGATCAAACGTAACAGCTGTTGCTATTGACAAGGCTCAAACAGCGTTCTCTACTTGCATCAACTTGTCTTACGGCCTTTGTTACGTGGACAGCAGATAGCCGATGTATAAAAGCAACTTTACTTACGTACAGCAGTGTGTTTTCAATACATACGGATCCCTATGGATGATGCCATATCAGCTATCGAGTGCACCGCAATACAAACAATCTTCACCTGGATGAGCGACGATGAAAAATGACCAAGAAAGAGATAGATCAGCAGCTGGATGGAAAAGGATCATATCAGCAGCAACATTGGACTTACAATGGTTATGGATGGATGGATGCAATCAAATGGGGAATGCTAAAATGTTGCTTTGGTTACTTTTTGCACTGTCAGCAGGAAGAATGGGGTCATATCACGTGAATACGCCTGAGGATGATGATGGGCTGGATGGATTAGACGAAAGGTGTTGTACAGCCTTGGACGATATTGGAGTACTCGAATCAATGCATGCAGCAGCTATTTTCCCAATCATGGATGAAGGACGATTATGATGGCAGCAATCAAGAATACAATGACACAACTATCCCCATTACCCTCTATGTCATTCACCCGTATCTTATTCAATTTGCAATCCTGTGGCTTTATCATATTTGCTTTATAAACATCCACACTACAATGTGCTATTCTTCGACTTTCCATTGAATGAAAATTGGATTCAAATTTTAAGTTTATCGTTCTACCAGCACATGTGTGCAAGGTGTGGATGACTTGGCTGGTTTCTGGAGTGAAAGTTGGGGGGGGGTTGAAGATTGGAAAGCGAGATTGGATCATTTACATCCTACGTGAAGTTTTCAACGTTGTCGACGCATCTCCGTCACCTCAAAATGACCGTGGTAGTATATTATTTTACTCCAAGCACTCATCGTAAAAGGAACGTCAGAAATGCCTCTTCGTGTAGTTTCCCATCCCTTTGATCTCCTCTCATTATTTTACTCAAGCACGCAATTACCCCCTTTTTCTCATACCATTGTCATGTACATTACTCATTTTGTTAACATCCAATATCGATAAAGTCAATGTTTGATTGTCTCACAGTTCACTGGACCCATGATGCAACACGCCAAATCCCTTTACTAAAAGCTAAAATATGACTGATGTTTATAAGGCTCATCACGAGTTAGAATGAAAAGACGCATGGATAATCCCTCAAAGTCGTGCTAGAGGAAAAACGTTACCCCTTAATTCATCCACCTGCACACACCTACAGCATAAAACACACACTGAAAGTAAGGAATAACATAAGCGTAATGATAAGCTATTGAACAGGCAATGCTCTTGTTTCTACATGATAACGGGAAGTGTGCAATAACATAAAATTCCATCTACTTGTAACAATGGTAACGGCTAATACTAGTGGTTTTGTTTTTGTTTGCTGGGGTGATTCGACATAACACAGTATAGGGATTAGAAAGAACCAGCGTTGACCTATGACAAGGTGCACGATCAGCATTTATACATATAATCCAGTTTAGCTTGCTCCATCACTTACTCTGTCCTTCAAATGCTGTAAGAATTGTTGATAGCTCAACACGTTTTCGGTACGATCCTCAATGAGATGGGCGAGGAACCACATGCGTAGGGCAGGGTCGCTATCTTCCTTGACCAAGTATACAGTAGGATAATAGTTGCCACGACGCATCTCACGTGTCTTGGATATCAGAGTATTTGCCTTTTTGTTGATGGCTGTGTCAAGCGTAGGTAATGTGTACTATTTGAGAGGGAAATGAGAGATCATGAAGAATTACAAAGAAGAATGTGGTCTTTTACCTTGCCATTGGGGATATCAGTATAAGACTTGACGTCGAAAAGATCAACGCAGAGTTGTGGAACAACACCACGACCCACCCAAATGAAGATCGTTTGGCCATTCTCCATTAAGTAACATCCATGGGGCTCCAGCTTTTCCATTGTCAGATTGAGTGCAGGAGGGAATACTACACCGTTTTCACCAATTTCACCTGCCTATATCAACCATTAGCCATTGCCATCATATCAAATACTTCCGATACCGTACCTCAGGAGGCATGTTGTGAAGGCCATAGAGATTAGGATGCAAATAGGGGATAAGCAATTGCAAAGGCATGGTTCGTATCAGGTTCATGGCATTGGATCGATGATCAGAGGGAATCAAAGGCGTATTTCTCAATCCATCCTAAGAGAAACGAGGATATTAGATCCCAATGCTGGTATTCGGTACCATCTTCCTTACATGTTTGATCAATGCAAGAGTAAGCAAAGGAAGTAATTTCAAGTGCTCAGGTACGCTTAATTGTGGCGAAGTCGATCCCTTGCCAAGGCCAAGTACTTGAGACTTGTAGACGCCCAAGATGTCAATGGTCTTGTTCACGACAGCATCCCGTGCATCATCCAATTTGCTTGTTTGTCCACGTTCGACAGCTGAAATAGAACCCAGTCAATACTACAGAACATAGGTAGATGTCTCCTGTATACTCACCCTTATTTGCCAAATAAGCGGTAACGGCTTGTGGGTTGATGCTGTTCAACATGTCAGTCACTGAGCTGGTCACTGGAAGACACAATGTCACGACACGGATACGACGTTCGCCATAGCAAGTGGTGTGTAGCAATGCGGTCTGGAAACAAGCTGTGGGTCCTCGCACTTCATCTTCAATGGCAACCTCCACACAATAAGATTGGTTTCGGGGGACGTTAGGAAGTGCCAAAAGATCAGTTGAGCGAATAAAGAAGTTGCCATGGAACGCACTCATACGCAAATTGCGAGAGGCACGAATACGTAATACTGCTTCCAAACCAATCTCTTCCGCCAATAATTCGGAAAATTCATGCGCAAACTTGAGAGCATCTTCGGACCTGCTGGCATGGAAACCAGGGTAAAAGTAGGTTTGACCACCTGTAAATCTAGGAAGGCAACCTTTGTCCTCGTGTATGAGTAATGCATATCATTGAAAAAAGGGACACAATCCTCACCTAAGGTAGCCATATCGGCATATTGTCCTCCAAAGATCAACATATCACATGACACTTGAGACCGGGAACAATCGACAGCAAATGACTTGTAAAATGGTGATGCAGCATTCAACAAAGGCGTTTCCTATTGAAACAATGCGTCAAATCATCATCGTGCCATGTCCAATAATCTCCCATTGTTTACCTTGGCCGTTCCCAACACCTTTGGATCTTCTCTAGGCTTCAATGAACCAGCACCCATATTAGGAAGAGTCGATTGCAAGCAAACAATCTTGCCACCAAAAGGAGACTATCCAATACCATTGTGAGCGACATCCCCTTTACACTTGCTATTTCATTGACCTACCACAATCTTGAAGGCTGCTTGAAGTGCACTACCCAAGGCATTGTTGACATTGGCAGTATCCTTGAACATGTCGGGCAACTTTTCCAAAAAGCCTTGAATGAGCTCTTTACTCTTGGTCAAGTTGGCAAGCAAATGTGTAGGTTGAGGCAAAAACACGTCTTCGAGATCAGACACCACCAACATTTGAGGTTCGGATAACTCGGGGTTCATGTTGTAGAAATGAATGCTGCTGTCCACCGTAATAAATCCGACTTGGGTACGATCATCCTTATTGGGCAAGCGTTCAAGGGAATCCAAAATCGTACGAGCAGCTGTAGCTACCATGCCCGATTGAATAGCCGAATACGACACGTCAATGACAAAAACATAGGATGGTGTTTGTGGTGGTCGCACCTATTGAATACAAAAGAAACTATCCATTAGCTATCTTTTTGACTTCCACAAATCCAATTGCTCTGTACTTGCCATGTACTCAGTAGGAGCCACGTATTCAACACAAGAATAGTTGAGTTCAGCACGTTTCCAACGATCCACAGGTTGTTGCGTTTGGGCATCATAATCAAAAGCAGCAGGGACTAATCATAGATTTGTCAAAAGATCACGCTCGTTTTTTCCTGTATCATCCACCCAGTGCTTACCATCATTCAACAAGAAGCACATGTTACACTTCCATCGCTGACCACCTTCGACAAAGGTAACAAAAGGATTGATGTAAGTACGGCAACGTCGACATCTGGCAATGACATAATCGGATACCACAGGGACTGGATCCTATCACAAGAGCATTCCATTGAGTCTCTATCCTCGTTGCTTGAGATCCAATTCTTTCTTACATGTTCACCATCAGATGTTCGATAAGGAGAAAGCACAAGGGCAAATGGCAACTTTGACTTTTTGAGAACCGATTCATTGGATGGTACAGCATTGATGGTACAACATTTGAAAGAAGGATCACTGTTGACAAAAGGTGAATTGGTCACTGAAGCCTAAAGAGCCCTTATTAGTAACCCAATACAATCCGCCAAGGATTCAAACCTACGTTCTGTGGCAGAGCGATGGGAGGAGGAGGAGCATAGAGATCGCTTATTTGTGGAGGTGCACCAAGCAATGGGATAGAAGGTGCTTTTCCCTACGTAATCCCAATAAATAAGCTTGTTGTAAATGAAATAGAGCTGCTTAATAACTTACACCACCCAAGTTCATGTTTCCAAATTGACCAGCCATTGCATTGACTTGTGGATAAGCGGCATTGGGAGTAGTAGTAGTAGGTGGTTGAGCACCAGGATAAGCTGGCATACTTGGTACAGGTGATGACATTTGTTGTTGTTGAATTGGTTGTTGTTGTTGCTGTTGTTGAGGATAACCAAAGTTGTTGATGGGAGCTGTTGCAGGTTGATCCATATAGGCCTTTGTGATTTGCTCTGGATACATGCGTTTACGAGTACGAGTATGATGATCAACAACAGGCGACTGAGGTGCGGATGAACCAGGGCTTTGAGATGCAGGTGGTGGAGGAGGAGTACCAGTGGAGGGTGGTTGTGGTGGCACTACTTGAGCTTGTTGTTGTGATGATGATTGTAATGGCGGAGACATTACACGATTTCCAACACCAGCAGGACGCATCATCATCGTGTTGGGCATAGGAGAAGCCATGGGTGGACGCATACCAGCTTGTTGGGGTTGTGCAGCTTGCATTCTCGGTGATGGCTGTTGTTGTACTGGCATAGGTCGATAACCAGGTCGCATAGGTGGTGAAGCAGAGCCTGCACCCACTGCTGGCGGTGTGTGGGGTGGTGGTGGTGTACCTGAAGAAGCACGATAAGGCATACCGGGATGAGCTGGTGGCATTGTATTGCCAACTACAGGGCGGTATCCAGGAGGTGCCATCCTAGGATCGTTGCCTGCTGGAGGTCTCTGCATGACTGGTTGTTGCTGTTGAGGCGGCTGGATCGGATACTGAGGCTGCTGTTGACTCGCCATGATGGATTTTGCAAACGGCTAACACGCGAATGGACAAGACGAAATTGACAATAAGCATCCATACTTGAATTCCAACCCCATCCTTTCCATTCACTGGTTGTCAAAGTATCCAGCCGAGTAATTACCTTCACTAGCGCGTCTGGTGAGAGTAGGAGAGAGACAAGGAACCGAGCGAAAAAACCGGATACTTCTTCTGCTGACAATCCGCTGCAAGCTATTGGATAGACTTGCCCAAAAGTCCGCAAGGTAAAAGATTAAGCTGCGTTATCAGGAAGCATCTTTCTCTCACGTGAGTGTTTATAAAAGGCTCTTTTCTTCCTTGGATTATAAGACGCTCTCCTGATCATTATGTTTAGGCATTATCATCATTCGTTGTCTATATTAATGAGAGGTCGCTATTATCTTCTATAATGATTGTTGCTTAGTTTCCCCCATCGTTACATATCCGCAAACCCTTAACATTATTCATAGTAGTAGTTGGCTCAAAAGAGCATTCGATTGTATATAAACCTTAATCATTTTTCCCAAAGGATGTGAAATTGTCACCTGTCACCTATCGCTTTTACCCTATTTATAGCCTAACAATCGGCAACGTCATAGCTGCTTACCCATGAGACGCATTTATATGTGCTATCAATCATCAAAGCTACGTGTACTTTGCTTAAACCAAGGCCTCTTCTTATGGTATGATGTCTGATCCTCAGTCTGATGAAGGTGTCTAGGCGATATCGATCATGATAAATATACCTCCTGTTTGCATAATGTCGACATATAAAGATTCATCCTACTACCCACGACGAATACTTCATAGAATAATGGCGCATCAAGATGCATCTAAATGTTATGTATGAGTTGTATCACTTACCTTCGTTGCTAATGAGCAATGAATGATCATTATGAAGTAATCCCTTGATCAAGGGTTATAGTTTCCACGTTACAAATCGATCCTGCAATGCGCTCCTGCTGATGGCAACATACGACTGGTGCAGCATGAACCAACAAGACGCGCTAGCCAGAAATTTAAAACGAGACATCTTGCAAACACCGAATCGGACTATTGTAATTATGTGATGGTATCATGCAACGCATTCATGCAAGAAGTAGCTTGTGCCAACTTGTGACAACCACTATCTTTGGCTATTGACCACATGGTCATCATCATGAAATAGAATCTCTTTCTGCTCTATCACCATCATGAAACAAGAATTGACATCCATTGACATAAATTGCTATGATACATGAATCGTTTAATTCCATTACTTTAAATGTGATGGTAGAAACGCGAAATGGAGGGAACGGTGTACAAAGAAGAAGGCACTACTTCCAACACCGTCAAGAAGTGTTATCTTGGGCCAACAGCAGCCTTTGCGGAGTGTAAAGCCTGTGAGGCGGGGCCACCAGAGGCACACACGGTTCACTTCTGTCTTCTTTCGCATACCCAGACCTTTCTCTCTTTGACAGCACTATACAACACTGAGGTACGTTGTTCTCCTCCATTAACCAATTGCCTTGTGTTTCATCTTGTGAATGCCGGTATCAGACATGGGCTGACAAGAGTTGAAAGCTCAAGATGGAGACTTTGGTTTATTACTGCTTTTGCGCGTTTCATTCAACTGAAAACTTTTTTCTTTGTTTCTAGGCATTGACCCAAGAGATAACATGTCCGTGTACAATCATCGGCCAATGGTCCCAGCGCCTCAAAGTCGCATTGTGGAGATGCTTGATGCTATTCGGGGCGAGTTTGATCAGCTTGCGAGAGAGGTGTATATGAACAAGTCAGAAAGGGACAACATCGAACACAAAAGTGAGTAGTTACGATGATATGTTGAAGGGGAAGAAGATGTATATTGATGGCTTGCAGTGGCTACGCAATTGCAGGAGATGCATAACTTTCAGCAAAACCTATTGGATTTTGAGCGACAGCAGCAAGCAATGAAGAAGCAGCAAGTATCCAAAGTATCTTTTCATTGCATGAATCTAATCGTTTGACGTTGTTGTTATCTATCAGATATGAAGATGAGATTGCTCGTCTCCGCCAACAATTGGAGATTGCTCAAATGCGTTCAGGCCACAGCGGAATGCCACCCAACACCAATGCCGCTGCTGCTGCAGGTAGCGGACATCCACAGCCACCATCGTCACAAGCACCACCACCGCCACAGCAACAACAGCAACAGCAGCAGCAACAGCAACAACATCAACAGCAACAACAACAACAACCTCCTAGCATTGGTCCTGGATCTAATTATTTTGGTGGTATCATGAATGCGAATGGCAACGGCACTAGTCAAGGACCTCCTTTAGTGGCACCTACACAAATGGTCGATCATCCTCATCCTTCGTCACATGGTGGATATCCCCCTTCATCCCAAGCACCAGCCACTGTTCCTCATGGATCTGCACCAGGTTATATGAATGGATCAGGAAATCAACAAGGTAATAATTCAATATGAGAAAGAAGGGAGATGGTGTCAATTGACAAGGTTTGTATGTATATGTAGGATATGGTGGATATCCTCCTCGTGGTCCTGCTCCTGGTACACCATCATCAACACATGCTACTACACCCATGTCTGTGGATTCTGGTTCTGCTGTGACACCAAAGCGTAAATCACTTCCATCTGGACCACCACCACCACCATCAGGTTCAGCACCACCACCACAAGCACCACCTCCTTCTCAAGCACCACCTCCATCCGGTGCCATGGTGCCACCTCCACGTCCTAAATCTCAAATGGGCATGTCAGGTTCTGGTACCCTCGCTGATGTCGACCCTGAAACGGTACCCGCCAACATGAAGGTAGAAGGTCGTGATTGGTTTGCATTGTAAGTAATATTTGAGATGAGCTTATATACATGATGCTAAACTTCTTTGTATTGTAGATTTAATCCAAAGACACCACGATTCCTCAAGGTTGATTTGGTACATAATTTGGATCATTCAAGTGTGGTATGCTGTGTCAAATTCAGTGCCGATGGTCGATGGATGGCGGCAGGTTGTAATCGCGCAACTTACATTTATGATGTTGCCACTGGTGACTGCACAAGGTAAATTCAGCATGGATGCTTTGGATGACATGATTTCTAATTGAACTTTGTTGTGTATAGTGTATTGAATGACGAGAATGCCCAAAAAGAAGGCGATTTATATATTCGTTCGGTGTGCTTTAGCCCTGATGGCAAATACCTTGCAACCGGTGCCGAAGATAAAAAGATTCGCGTAAGTGTGATCTAATGAATGCGAAAGAAAATGCTTACACACACACACACACTTTTATAGATTTGGGACATTGCTCGAAATCGTATCCGCAACACATTTAGTGGACATGACCAAGACATTTATTCTCTTGATTTCAGCCGTGATGGACGTGTTATTGTATCTGGTTCAGGCGATCGTACTGTGCGGATATGGGATATGCATGAACAAAAGCTGATGCACGTGATTCCTATTCAAGATGCAGACCAAAAGGATCCTGGTGTTACTAGCGTGGCCATTTCTCCTGATAGCCGTTTGGTGGCAGCTGGTAGTCTTGACAAGATGGTGCGTGTGTGGGATATTCAAACAGCACAACCATTGGAGCGTCTTGAAGGACACAAGGATAGCGTGTATTCAGTTGCATTCATGCCCAATGGAAGGACTTTGGTGAGCGGTAGTTTGGACAAGACAATCAAGGTGTGGCAACTAGGCACTGGCACTGATAGTCGAGGCTATAACATGGATCGAGATCGCAAAGGTCCTTGTCAAATGACGCTTACCGGCCATAAGGTAAAATCCATTATGCATAGACGTGTGAACCTATTCATTCTAACCCAACCATCATGTAGGATTTCGTCTTGTCAGTTGCGTGTACTCCTGATGGCAATTGGATTGTATCTGGTTCCAAAGATCGTGGTGTTCAATTCTGGGATTATCATACTGGACAAACCCAATTCATGCTTCAAGGACACAAAAACTCGGTGATTTCGGTTGCCATCAGTCCTTCGGGTCGACCGTTATTTGCTACTGGTTCTGGTGATAATCGAGCGAGAATTTGGTCTTATGAACCATACTGTAAGTCCTTTATAGCAATTGTGTGGCAATCGGCTAATCGTTATTTTTTCTATCTGGTAGCGTAAAACAAGGCAGTGATATTTCTTATGTTCATATTCGCATTCACTATGTGTATAAACGACTTTGCAGGGTAAAAAAAAGGAAGCTTATTCAAATGTAGCTGGTTGACAAAAAAAGAATCGCGTAATAAAAATGGCGTGATCTCAAATAATGACAATGAATACTATGGATGATTGTTTTGAATGAATGCATTTATCCTTTGCTAAAAGTAGTATAACATCTACATGATTTGAAGACAAAATGGTGATGCATAGCCATTTTTCCTTTCTAATTGATAGCGGTAGTGATGAATTTACTCCTCAGCAGAAAGGTTGACCTTGGGGTTGAAGAAGAGGGATTCCTTGCCCCAGAAGAAGTCCTAATGTGTTTATCTCAGTATCAGCTATCCTTATCCATAAATGTATCGCATATGATCTTTTTACCTTGGCACGGTTGTTCAAGTAGGGGTACTTGACCCATTCCTTAGGGTGGTGCTCCATGTGAGCAGCGTGCTCGGTGGCCAAGTTGTAGGCATTGACACCAGCAGCAAGGAGACTACAGTATACCGTTAGACTCGATTTGATACATAAAAGAGACGCTGTATACATACGCAGGGATACAGACGAAGATGCTGATCTTCTTCCAGGTCTCAGCAGCAGCTGTAATAAAGCGTGTTAATGTTGTTGAATGGATCGAATGAACCAGATGAGAGGCACAGGTACAAGGAATACGTACGACCGGCATGAGCCTTGACGGCATCACGTTGAGCGGCGAACTCGGAGGTGGATGCGGCGGTGGATTGGAAACGAGCACCAGCACGCTTGACAGCAGAGGTCAATTGAGTGTTGAAGAGAGCGCGAGAAGCCATGAGGATAAAATGTGTGTAGAGAGGGGAGGAGGAAAACAAGGTTGTCAGGCCTGCGGGCGTGTTTGTATGCTGCCAATCCCTGACGCAACAAACATTTCGGTGACTGGCGCATATCAACCAATGGTTTTACTCCTTTCGATCCAGCTACTGGCATCCATTGCCCCCCAAATCATGCAAACTACTACACACGTGGTAACGTTTTTGTTTATCGCTTTCAATGTAAATCAACATTTACAGCTACTTGTTGCTATGATACCAATGGTTGCTATGGCTTTTTAGACATAGTGTACTACAGTCCGCGTAAATGGATCAAAGTGATGTGGTGGTAGTCTTGTAGGTATGTACATGTGATGATAGAAGACATGTATCCACTTCCAATTAAACCTTGAATACAACCACTATCAGTCATTTACCAAGCTAGTCTACATGATAGAACCCTCCATGAATGCACCTACTATCAAGTATCATCAACAAAGGTTGCATCATAGATTCCAACACCAACTTTTGCCTAGTTGATAATTGACTCTTTATTGATAAAGCATACTCAAGCATAGTCTTGTTTCCAAGTAAGCAAATGAGCTATCTTATTACTGTGCAGCATCACGTGTTTATCAGTGTTCTATGGACTGCGTGTATGCATTGGATTTAGTGCTATTTCTGATACCGCTGGAATAAAGCTTGTGGACAAGTCGATCCGAGAGTGTTCCAGGTTCGCTTTTACCACTTGTTCCAAACGAATGTATAATCCACAAAGCTATCAGCAACATCCACAGCATAGGTCACCGCCTATGAATACGCGATCACCTCCACCTCTTCAGCATCCTGTGCCTCAACATCCGATCCCCAATTTCAGTCAAGGTGTTCATCAGGCGTCGCCACACATGCCCCACCAACAGCAACAGTATCAGCAATATCAACAACAACAACAGCATGCTTTTCCACCCCAACCTCATGGTAACTATGGTCCAAGTATGGCAACGCCACCACAACAACAGCAACAACAACCGGGAAACATGTATCAGTTCTCTGGTTTAAACGATCCTACTGCACAAATTGGTATGCAGTTTGCTGGAAGTGCCGTTGCTCAAGGCACAGCTTATGTGGAACGAAATGTGAGTTGCCATCCATCGGGAATATGCGTTGAATGATATTGATACAGTGATGAATGAATTAGTTTAATCGTTGGGTCGATATGCCTACGCTGCGCCACTATTTCAATGTGAACAACTTGTATGTGCTGTCAAAGATTAAGCTGATCCTTTTCCCTTGGAGACATTCGGTAATTAAACATGCACGCCGATGATGATGATGTGGATTGAAAGCTAACAAGAATTGTTTCCATGGCAACGAATAAGCCTTGGAGCCGTGCAGTGACACGTTCTGAAACAGGCCAAATGGAGGGCTTTCGTCCACCTCGAGAAGACATCAACTCGCCCGATTTATATATACCAGGTACTGTTGTAAGAAAGGAGGATACGACATGGTTGATCTTTCTGACTCATCGACGTAGTCATGGCTATTGTGACCTACATTTTACTTTGTGGGCTTGTCGCAGGACAACAAGGATCGTAAGTGCCAAAGAGTGAATGTATCATGGATATCACATTGACATGGAGACGTATAGATTTCATCCTGAGCAGCTCTACGTGGCCGGATGGACATCAATAGGCGTCATTTTTTCGGAATTGGTATTCACCCGCTTAGGTTGCTACTTTCTCAATATACCTTTTGAGGCATCCATGCTCGATTTGGTGGCGTATTCAGGATACAAATACGTGTGCATCATCGTCTCTGATCTTGTCAAACTCTTTGGTGCCGGTAAGTGGTTGTCATGGATGGTCTTTATATACACTTCATTGAGCGTTGGCTTTTTCTTGGTAAGCATTTCTTCCCTCGCACACACGTGCATCATCTTACGGTCAATGCTAACGAGTCATACTACTAGCTACGATCCATGCGTTATGTGATTCTTCCCGATGCTGCTGCTGGCCCTTCGACATTCAATCCCCAACGAAAGCGACGCATGTGGTTTCTGCTCATGATTGCTACTTTACAAATCGTTTTTATGTTTGCACTTGTAAATTGATCTGTACAATAATAATAGTTTTATCTAGATAATACACATGTTCCCTTCTAATAATCATCCTCAACCGCTTCCTCTTCTTCTTGTGCTGGCATAAAGGGTGTATCAGCGGGTACACATTTGAAAAAGGCAGCTGTAGCTTCATTGCTGGCATCGTTAAAATCGAGAGAGCCGTTTGGATCACTGCATGGTATCACATTGGCGGGTAGATGCCAATTCTGGGAATCCAAATCCACTTGTCGACAACGTTGTTGATAGAACACTGAAAGCTTAACATGACCATCTGATTATATGCCAAGTATTAGGATCATCATAGTACGATGCATAAATAGCTTTTACCAACCTTCAGGGACAAGCAAATCCACTGCAGCCTGCAGCTCAGAGCTGGCATCGTTGTCACCCACTTTCCAGAGATAGGTTACATCTTACAAATGATCGTGTTAGTTTCAATGCTCGTACACCAAAACATATCCCCGATCCATGAATACTCACATTCTCCTTTAGGACACGCCATAGTTTCTGCACTTTGATGAATCACATAGATCGGCGCATCTTGATTACCAGCAGCACTACCAGGTGGAAACACGCTGTAGCATAAGGCTTCTTCCTCCAAGGATACTAAAGGTTTGTCGCTCACAATGACGGCTCGTGATACCCATGATCTATGCATATGGATTAGAAATAAAGGTATCATCCTCATCCATTGTTTTGACTCACTCGTATTCGTTCTTGTTTGGAAGCCATTGCTTGTTCAAGTAGTCGAGACCGGAGATAATCCATTCGCTATTGAACTTTTGGCCATCTTGCGTGACAATACCGGTACATCGACCCTCCTCCATTGTAAACGAAGCGAGCTGTTGGTTCAAGATATAAATGCCTCCAAACACGGCACATACACTATACATGACCGCCGATCAGATTCAGCTCACCTATGGGATCATTATACCCACACACTTACCGGCAAAACGCTTGAGCTATTTCGCTAGCACCACCATAAAGCGGACACAAGTAACCACCCTTTGTGAATCTTCCCATTGACCTTACGAATGTCTGTGTCCTTTCCAAAGCAGTCCTTGTATCGACTTTTTGTTCATAAATAAGTACATGGATGTTCTCACTTGATTCATAATCCCATATTTACCTTGAGCATCAGCAATAGCAATGGCATAAATGATAGCTTCCCGTAATTGACCGGAAATTTTAAACTTGTCTTCGAGGAATTGACTGTATGGCTTGTCAGCGAACCCTGCATGAAGTATTCTATCCATTGAGCCAAGGGACATTATTGTACGCAATTAAAAGTTACCTTCCATCACCTCGGGCTTCTCTTGATAATCAACGGCATACGTAAGAAAACGCATCAGCTTGCGCTTATCAATCAGGCTAATGGCTTGGTTGTTGAATACATCTTCCTTGGAGCTAGGTACCTTGATTCGAAAAATTGGATCAGATAATGATATTCCGTGTGTGTGTGTGTGATCCATACCCTTTCAAGTTTGCCATTCTGGAATAGACACAATTCATCCACTCCTTTGAATTCGAGATAACGGCCCACACCGCTACGAATCAACACCTCTACCAGTTCACTCTTGCAAGACAAAAGCTTGGGCGCCAAATCCAAATTGTAAGAACGTGACTTTTTGAGCATTTTGGCGAGCGTTTGCTTGGATGATGCATCTGGAGCTATCGACTCAAGGAAATCGGATGATAACACCTTGTCCAAATCTTCAGTTGATATCTCTTCTTCTTGTTGATCCTTTCCCACGCGAGCTGTGACATTGCGATAGTTGGCTAAATAGCTGGATGTGTATTGGATGGTCGCTTCATTGTCGCTGTTACTACTATTGGGTTCCTCAGCTTCCCCTATAGAGCGAGAAAGAAAGCATGGTCAGGGCCCATTGGATGGATACGTTGATAGATAGATGTCTTTTCTTGCCTGATGCTTGGTTGAAACGCTCCACCCATTTGAGCATATTCTTTATGTCGTATACGCTCCAGTTGCCACCATAAAGCTCGCTGCTGTCAATATGCAACACCTTTTTGCCTGCACGTGCCAATGCGCTACCCATTCGACAAGGATTGCGTCTCAAAGTAAGACTCACATGCATGCACACGCGATGGATGGTGCTTGTACTTACCCAGCCGTGATGGATTCAGGTAAACCTGTACCGAGGACAATGACATCGAAATCGGTTTCGTCAAGTGTGGCCATGTCGAAAAGCGGGAAAGAAACAGACGCGATAACAGCAGCTGTGAGTGAGCACCTGTTTTTACCTTTCCGATCCATCTTGAGACATTTGTCGCTCACACACATAAATGCATAAATCCATAGCACGTGTGCGATCATGTATTACCCTTAACCCGGGAGGATCATCTATCTATTGTGTGCAGATCTCTTGAAGGAGTTCTAGACTCGGGCTATGATGTTCCTTGATTTTTCATAGGGAAATAAATGCTCAATTTCAATGCTGAGAAATGTTACATTCAAGTGATATCAACAAGGGGTGAATGAAAGAAGGACGTTATTATTGAAGGAGAGAGAGCGAGAGAGTACGTAACTACCTCTTTGATGCTTGCTTGACACATCCCTTCCCACTCACTCAACTTACTAATCCGAATCAAGCCAAGTAATCATGATGCAACAACCATGAATTACACTTTTAGAGACAATTGAAAATGGTAACTATGACGACATTGATGAATGATAAATGGTGATTGTTGAGTGTGTATTGAATCTGCGACTTCTAAAGCAGGAATGATGATGATTGGTTGATTTGGAGGGATATGCTTCAATGGGTGAAAGGGGGAGTAGAGATAAGGGAAATATGCAAAAAGAGAGAGAGAGAGAGAGAGAAGGAAAGAGAAGGACTAGTTTACACTTTGCTTGCAACGCATCGTTCACTGAGCAGCTTGTTGCTATTTCGTTCATGGGCCATTTGTCTGCAACTAACCAAGTTTTCGCAAGCATGGGCTTCTGGGAGTCGGTGTCTTGAACAAAACTGCGACTGACAATAGCGACAATGGCCAACAATCTTGATCACCTTATCAGTGCATGTTCCAAAAGCACATCGTTTCTTCCTAGCAGCAACAGGATGATGGCTTGTAGTAGTAGTAGTAGTACTGGATGATGATGATGATGATGCTTCGGCCATGGTCACATCATGATCTTGTCCACCACCGCCACGCAAGCGTAATACCAAGTGCAACGTGGATTCTTTTTGGATATTGTAATCAGAGAGTGTACGGCCGTCTTCAAGTTGCTTGCCAGCGAAAATCAATCGTTGCTGATCAGGAGGAATACCTTCCTTGTCTTGAATCTTGGTCTTGACATTTTCAATAGAATCGGACGATTCCACTTCGAGCGTAATGGTCTTGCCAGTAAGGGTCTTGACAAAGATTTGCATACCACCACGTAGACGTAGCACCAAATGTAAGGTTGACTCCTTTTGAATATTGTAATCGGAAAGTGTGCGACCATCTTCAAGTTGCTTGCCAGCAAAGATGAGACGTTGTTGGTCCGGAGGAATTCCTTCCTTGTCCTGGATCTTTTGCTTGACGTTTTCAATAGAATCAGAGGACTCGACTTCCAATGTGATGGTCTTGCCAGTGAGAGTCTTTACAAAGATTTGCATGGTGTAAAAATGTGTGTGTGTGGATGGGTGGAAAAAGGAGAAAGAAATAGGTGGTTACTGCAACCACGACAACCAACCTCGTCTTTTTATATTGCGCCTCTCTCCCTCCCCCATATAAAATCCCCCAATTTTGCTCCGCCGCTTAACAGCTGCCATAAACGGCACTCCACCGACAAACGACGGAAAAACAAATGTATTTTTTGTCCCGCTGTGCAACATCAGTTGCATTGACAAATCTCTCATCTCTCTCTCTCTCTTTCAACCCATGTCATTATGTATAATACATGTGCGGATCTGCAACCCACTTTGGTCACAATGGATTATGTCATTTTATCTTTCTAAATATCGCGCCTCTTTCCTATTACGTTCTTAGTGGCTAGTGGAGGATGTATTACGTCTTTGATATGAAACATGTGTGAATGATATAAAAGTCCAAGTGCGTGTGTGTGTGTGTGTGCCTATTTCCTTCCAGAACCTACGAAAGCGGTGTGTGTGTGGGTGTGTGAGTGTGTGGCTATTTTACCAATCCTCTTGCTGGTTTGTACTCGACTCCGCTTCTAATGCACCTATCATATCGTGTGCTGCCTCTCAAAGCACCAATGAATGTAAACGAGCTCACCTCCTAGCAAAGATGACAAATGCGGACTAATCTCTCCCCTTTGCCAAGGGATCCTCGTCCTTTTTGCATTCTTTGTTTCAAAGAAAAAGAAATATGCACCCATTTGTATAAAAGAAAAATCACGTGGTTGGATCAGTAACAACTTGTTCATCCTCATCATCTCCGCTACTCTCTTTGTTGAATGACGACATTGCCAAGCGAAGAGTCGCACAAACCATCCTCTGCTGCATGAAAAAAAGAGTATCGGAAGATAGTGCTCCTCTCCACAGATTACTATTTATATAATAAGATGATCACATCACAATTTGCTATCATGATGACTTGGTGCGATGACGACATCTAGGTATCATCCGAATGTGCTTCTCGGGGAAAATGGTTCCATTATTTGTTGCATTAGCATTCTTCATTCAGACAGCGACACACACAAAAAGGACATGCAAATGCAAGGTATAAACATTCATTTCGATTACATAAGAGATTGGTTGATTTAGGAAAGGAAAAACAATGTACAAAGACTACTACAAGCAAGATACAAAACAAGGAGGATTAGAGCTGATGTATGTCATCGTTGTTGGTTTTCACATGTTGTGGGCGTGATTATCATTTGTTGGCAGAGGGTCCAGAAGAATGAAATGGTGGTGAAAAAGAACGGAATCGACGATGTTGTTGTTCCTGAGTGGTGGCAAAACTGCCCAAGATGCCAAGCTGGTGACTGCTGGATCCTCGTCTTTTACGTTGTTGCCTCATCCAAACAATCACAATAATCCCCAAAAGCAAAAGAAGACTTGCCACTGTCAATAATCGATGGTTGACAAACAAATCGGTATCAAAGTCATCCTGTTGCTGAACGTAAATAGGTGCCAGGCTTTCGGCCGCAATTTGTTGCATGACGCGTTCAATCACACCAGTATGAGGAGGAGGGGTATATTTGGGTGAGCGATAAGGAGAATCAGGCGCATTGATCCATGCGGTAACATCACCCACAGATGCATCCAGGGACATGGATTTACCATAGGAACCAGCGAGAAGAATAGAGTTGGCAATCAAACGATGCATCCCTATAACACGTGGACCAAGATGCATGTTATTATTATTACTTCTCCCTTCCTGATAGTGATGATGTTACTCACCTCCTGTGATATGCGTGCGATCCCACCAAACGTAATGATCCACATTGTCAGTGCATGACCCATGGCATACATCCAAATAAGCATCCAATGCATTCACAAAGTTAAACATGGAAGGATCGGCCATGACATCTGTCAATAAACTGTGAATATCAATCAAATCGAGCTCGAGTGCATGATGATGCTTGTTGAGATTGACAACGTCGTTTTGGATTAAGCGGTTGAGTTGTTCAGCAGCCGATTCCCATTGTGGTTTGTCTTCACGATCGATAAAGAAAGGCATATGTTGCATGGGTGGTACATTAAAGACCATGATGCGGTTGGCACCAAAGACCTTGCGGATGCTTCGAATTTGTTCTGTGATGCATTGCGACACATTCTCAAACGTAGGTGGGGTCGTACTTCCTAAAAGAGAAGGATTTAGAATGCTTTTGTTATGTACAACCAATGACTACTACAATGGCTTACCAAGCTTTTGCTGATAGGATTGCTGGATATCATTGACACCAACCCAAATGGCGAATAATGTTTCAGTGGGGTCCAATTGCAAATCTTGATGATAAAAGTGTTCGATCTGATCCCGGATGCTTGGTGTCGTCATCTCCATGGATACGTTTGGAAATAGTGCATTGTCACATGCTGAGCCTGTATGAGCAAAGCTATAAAGAGACGCGTTCCAAGCTACTGCCAAATCTTCACTCCAAATAGGGCCGTTTGTCCATCGATGGAAGTTGCCAGCATCTTCATCATTGCATTAGATCAAACAGAGCTTTATATGTATATATATATTCTATTTTACCTGAATAAGAATCACCAAATACTACCAAGTTTTTGACGGGCGTTGAATCCAAAGCAAGGACTGATCGTGGTAACAAGGACGCAATGAGGACCAGGGAAAGAGGAATGAGTGACATGAACCTCTGCATTGCAAAGATGGGGTAATTGTAAATAAAAAAGGACTGGCAGGGGGGAGGATTATGTGTGCAGGACGATATGAGAGTGTCGAGTGAGTGAGTGACAGCAAGAAGGGGAAGAGAAGAAAGGTACTTGTATATGTGGGGTAAAAAGAAAAGAAAGATGCAAATGCGGACAAATAGTCAAGGTTCTTTTTTGCTTGATTCGGTCAAGAATTCATGGCCATTCAACACTTTTGAGGCTTTTGCCAGTTTACGTCGTCTTGTTTGCTTCTCTGTTTTCCATTCAATACATCTTTACTAGTAAAGCACGCACGTGAGGCGGTTGCTATGGCTCCGCTCGGTTGCACATGTGCATAACCAAGACCTCGCTGTTGCCCCCCCCCCACACACACAAGCTGTACCCTTATATGAATGATGAGGGTAATCCTCGATTGTGCCCTATCGAGCAAGTGCATGTGTCTCTTGATCATAGGAAGAAGGATAACTTTGTATGATGGGATGATGCAAAGCATATAGTAAATGTTGTTGATTATCATGAAGACTCCGCATAAAATGCCAATTTTCACAATAGAAGGGTTGGATTGTGTACAAGGTGGAGCAGTGGAATGGCAATGCCTTACTTTGGAATGGTTTCCTAAGCACGGATCGTTTAAAGTATTCCCAAACTTTTTCACACTGCTCTAACTCGTAAAAGAGCGATGATTGGGCACCACCAATGCACTGGTTTGAATTTACCAGGAACATCCATCCAAAGACCAAACAAGGAGATGCACGTGGTACAAGGATAAACGACAATACACACATGAAACAGGTGGCCCTTTCAGCCGGCGTTATCGGAGACCATCCATTGCTGCACACCTCCCCCTCCGCTGGTAATGTATGATCGTTTGACTTATTAAAAATGAGTCTCATTGTTTGATTGTTTATAGAAGAGGATGATGTTGATTGAAGTAGGTCATCGGATACGGATTGCCGAGTCATCCGAATTAATTTGATCCACCATCACCACAATGGCAATCCCACCAAAGAATTCATGGATATCTCAGAAGACATGACCGGCTTTTTGGATATCTCAGTTATAGGGAATCCACCACACACAATGCACACTATATAGATCGACCTTCAATTCATTCGGGATACGCCCATTCATTATGCTTACCGATTTGCCGCTGCCTAATCTTTCCCTTGAGCGACCCATTTGGATGTATCAGAACTATGTCTAAACGGCATCCATCATGTCTTTTTTTCCCTTTTCACGGCAACCCACTTCTTCTTTGTTCATTCTTTTCTACTTTTTACCTTTTTAACACATACACATGTCTATGCAATGAGCCCACTTCCATCTCGACATTCCATTGACGATCCTTCAGGGCCACAGCCCGACACCACCAACTCCACCACCACTACCACTCAAGCAGCTTCCCTTGACAACAGTCACCCAGCAACGCATGAAAAACCCATTGAACATTATAATAATGAATCATCCCATCCTCCCACTACTCGACAACAAAGCCATCCTGATTCGGTGCATGATGACCTGTTCTTAGATCAAAACACTGTAGATCATGTTGTATATAGCAAAGAAACCACCATCTCAGCATCAGCGGATAGCGAAAATGACATGTTCATCAAAGCATCATGGCAACTCAAGGTGGTCATTCTATTGTGCATGCTGGCATTGCCAGTAGGGTGTCATTATCTCGAAGCGACGGTGGGCACTTTGAAAACAGCACTCAAATCCGTAAGTAAGGGATCCCAAAAAAAAGAGAGAGAAACAGCAGCGGTGATATTATCGCTCCGTTTTGCCTTTTATCCAATTTTCCTCTTCTTTCAATGGAAGCGATGGGGTCACACACACACACACACATTATGCTCATTGTAATACGTTCTTTCAGAACATGCACATCAACAATACTCAATTTGGCATCCTGGTATCATCTGTCACGCTTGTCAATACAATCCTGCCTTTACTTGCAGGCGTCTTTATCGATGATTTAAGCAGCTTGGGATCGATCCGCGGCACAACGCTTGTCAGCGTCGTCATTTTGATTGGCAGCATTTTCGTGTCCGTTGGCAGCTCCCGCAGTAGCTACCCTCTCATGGTCACTGGTCAAGTCATTTATGGTTTGGGTGGCGGCATGATTGTAACTATGCAAGAAGGTATGCATCTTTGTTTTCCAATTGCGGTAGTAGTAGAAGTATCATGCTGACGATGATGATTGTCGTTGTCTCATTCAGGTATCTTGTCACGGTGGTTTCGGGATCGTGAGCTTGCTATCGTCATTGGTATCCTGCTATGTTGTGCACGTCTCACCAAATGGGCTGCGAAAATGGTGTGCTATCCAATTGTGTATTCCACCGGTTCACATGCATGGCCTTTATATGTGGCTACCATTTTGTGTGGTGCTGGTGTCGTTATGAATGTGATCTACTGGTTCGTGATGGTGCGAAATGGATGGGCGACATTGAATGGCAAGGAGATTGCACAACCCAAACACAAATACCTTAATCGCTTTGGACGCCAAAATCGAGCAATAACACCAGCACCAAGTCGTCGTATGTCATCTTCGGTCATGTCTCAAATCGCCGACACTGCAATTGAATCAACAACAGCACGAGCCGAAAGCGTCTCTTCCAAATTCAAATTCTCGTACAAGTTGTTTCTTTATGTGCCAGGGACATTTTGGATGGTGCCTTGGATCCAATTGATCATGTCAAGCGTTCTCAGCAGCTTTGATGATGTTGCCACGTATGTGTTGCATTACACCATTCATGCATTTGATTTTGCCTAAACTCACAAGAATTTCTATAGCGAGTTTGTCGAATTCCGATTTCAGACAACAAGCATCATGGCTGGTGTATGTGCAACTTTTTCCTTCAATGATTGAACATGGTACTGATGATGGTTGTTACCTTTTTTGTAGTATCAAAGTAGCTTGACGCAAGTCGTTCCTATTGTGGTTGCACCGATTATGGGAATTGTCGTACATCGCTATGGCAAGCGAATCACCAACCGTAAGTGTCACACGCTCGTGCTTGTGTAATGATCTTTCAGCTAATTGACAGGTCGTATGTTCTAGTCTTTTTTGCAACGCTTGTTTTGATCACGTCGATGATATTACTTTCATATACGTATGCTACTCCTGCTGCTGGCATGATCATATTCTCGTTAGCCCTTGCCCTGGGTCCAGTATCCGTATTGAGCTCCACATCGCTGCTACTACCACACGAGCTTGCTGGCACTGGCATGGGATTACACAAGTGTGCCAACAACATTGGCACAACCATTGTAGCAGTGCTGGTGGGCTATGTACAAGATTTGACGTATCATGATGGCAATCCGGATGATGATATGCGGGATTTACAAAACGAGTACAATGGTGTGATGGCTCTTTACTTGGGCATGGCCTGTTGTTCGACGCTGGTCGTTGGCATATTTTGGGTCATGGATCACAAGCTGCTGGGCGGCTGGTTACAAGCAGACAAAAAGGAACGTGACAAGAGGCTTGAAGTGGCCAAACAGGAACAAGAAGAAGAAGACCGTGTATACCGATACCCGTATTATGGAGAACCAACCGAACAAGCTGAACGACGAAATACAGCTCTCCGTAGGATTGGCAGCTTGTTGTTGCCAAAAAAGACATACAAGTATGTCGGCTTTTATTGCTTTTGGCTCGTGGCCTCCTGGGCCGTCTTTTTCACTTTTGCATTAATGCCCATATACCAAAACTACCAAGTTTAATAATACACATGTCGCTTTGTTTGCATTCTTCATCCCCATTCTCATATTGCCTCCCAATAAAAAATTTGTCAAGCATACATAGACCACAATAAGGTTAACCAACACTAGTCCAATAATGATTGTGTTATGGCAACAATGCCTATCTATTTCCAAAACAGGGTTATATACAAAAAGATCGTAGTACAACACGCATCCTCTTTCCGACTAGGTAATCAAAAGGGATGGTGGAATATAATACAGAATCGAGCGACATGATGATGGTTGATAGTGAATGGGGGAGTAAAACGAGTGTGTGTGTGTAAACGAAGAGGGAGGCTTAAAGAGCTGCTGCTGTTGCTGCTGCGAAAGGGTATCGAGTGCCAATTTCTACGGGTAGAGATATACGTCAGACCTTGATCAATTTTTCCCCACGACCTCTATTTTGCCGACCTGTGTATACCTTTTAATCAATTTTAAGCATAGTTTTCATGCGTTCATACACGGCAAAGCTGACAGCGACCATAGGGACGACCTTGATGTAGCCAATGCTAAGACCCACGTAGAATCCCTTGAAACCTTTGACTCGATAGATATCTTTGACGGTTTCACTAAAGCTGACAAACATCTCTGGATTCAGCAGACCACCCACTTGCATTCGACGTCGGATGACCTAATGGCAAGGCAACGTACGTGAGTCACACGCATAGGATTTCACATCATGCAAATCATACCTCTAATGGATAACTACTGGTTTGAGCTACCAATCCAGCAATACCACCGCATGCTAATTCAGCCCATGTATTGAGTGGAGGTTTATCGATTTTGCGTCGTTGCTCTGGCGTGAGGTGAGGTGATGTGGGATCGAAATCCAAGGGTTGAAGTGCCCATTGTGATATAACAGGATGATGACGGCTGAGCTCTGTTGCCAGGTGATGTGTCCAAAATGAGACGCCTGCATAAGGGATCATGCCTGCTACCGTTGGTATGAATCCACGATAAAAGTTGGCAACGTTCATGCCTCGTGCTGCTGCTGGTTCATTGTAGATTTGGATCACCGTGGATACGAGACCTGGTCGTGCTTTGCCTGTTTGTTTGACCTCGTATGCCATTCGAACACGCAAAAGATCCAAGGGATAAGTAAATAAAACGGATGTGACACCTAGCAACGGGTATGTGTTATAATACATTTCTCGCCTCTCTCTTCATTAATTTACCAGCAAGTGATCCAGCAGAGAATTGTCGAGCGGCTGTTTCCTTTGATTTGATAGGCATCAGGATCTAACGAGATAGAAAATAATGGCTGAGTCATCTCGGGTGTGCGGGATAACAAATGACCGCATTGATGCTTACTGCCTTGTATTGTTCATAGGCAACAAATTTGATAGCTGCATAGGGAAAAATACGAATAAGCGTCACCGAATGTCCTTGAAACAATCCTCTCGATCCAGTATGCTTGACAATGTCACGAGCAGCCTTGAACACGCCTGAAAAGGTGCCTGTGATTGTAGTAACACAATTGGATTTAATCCAGGGGATATCAAATCATTGGAAAGAAGACGTCAAAGACTCCACACTATACCTGCATACTGCTCAAAGACGGGATTGCGTGCCTGAAAAAGAATCTTGACTCGATCAAGAGGTGCAATGATAGTCTTGGCCTGTTGTAATGAGTGTGAGTGGGAATCGTCCATGAGGGGGAAAGGCCAATGTGTGTTTTTTTTCAATACCATGCAACCGGCAATGCCACCAGCTAGACCCGATCGCATAACGTAGTCCATATTGCGTGTCTTTCGCACACTCTCTTGACGAGGGCTTCGAGCATCGGAAACATTACTGGGTGTTGTAATAGGGTTTTGAACAGCTGGTGGCGACTGCATATATATATCAAAGAGAAAAACAGGTGGAAAGGCAACGAGTCAGTGGAACAACAGGAGGGAGAAACCAAAAGGGGGAGGGAGCCTGGGAAAATCCCACATGAAAATTGACATGTGGGTGTGCCAATCATCTTCTTTCTATCGTCTCTTGACATCATCATTTACCCTTTCCATCTACATATGCAATGACACAAGCTCATCATGTTTGCCTAAGGAAGCGGCCCATCCTATAATTAGGGATCATCCACTACTCAAATAGCGTGTTCCTGAACGATCTTGACAGTCGTCGTCGTGCTTTCATTTGTAAAGAAGGATAACATTGAAATGAAAATCCCGCTCGGTGGTAATAGGCTATGCGGCTAATTGATAGCGAGAGGACCCAAAGAAACGGGTTTTACTATTGTTGTGTATGTGTTGCTGTACTCTTTATTCACGATGCAGGAAATGTATGGTTTTCATGCAATAGGATGTGGATGTGGTTGATGTTGCAATGGATAGCCATCCAATAAAGGTAAACACGCATCTTGAAGAAAAATAGCAGTACAAGAAGATCGATCATACTGTGCAAGGAGTGATTTTACAAGCCCAATCAATAGTAGATTACCATCCTAGTGGTTGGCACAAGATCCTTAATCGAGAATGCCTCTTTGTGGGATTTTAAAGGATTGCAATACAAGTATCTTCTCCCCACACACATAATATCAGACACTTGTAATTGCTTGTTTGGGTATTAGAGCATGAACAACAACATGGTGTTTATTATTGACGAGGTCGTATGAATGTAACATGAAAGCATATCTCTGTGTCGTAGTAGAAAGGATGTCAAAACGATGCTGAGGAAATTTGACAGGCTTGCCTTTTTCTCTCTTGCCGCGTAACACACACACAGGCGAAAAAGCTATGAACACTGATCAGCGACCCCCGATGGGTGTTCCTCCTCATCAACAAGCAGCACCACCTCGTCCGATTATACCAGCAACTGCAAATGCTCCTGGTCCTCATCCTCCTGCAATGAATGCTAGACCCATGCCACACCATCCAGCAGGTGCATAATAAGGCAAACTGTCTTTTGGGCCGCCTTCGTGATGACCACCCCCGCCCCTTTTCATGTGTCAACTAACATTGTGTCAATGGAATGCGTTTTTCTATAGGTGCTATACCTCCTCGGCCTGCTTATGGTCAACCTTTACGTCCAATGGTACGGCCCATGCCACCACAACAACAACCTGGAGCTACTACTACGCCTGTAGCACCCTCCCCACCACCAGGAGCGCGTCCTATGGGATCTGTTCCTGCTCAGCAACAGCCAATGCCTCATAACGTAGCACCAACAGCAGCAGCACAAAGACCACCACCATCCCCACAACCACTAGTAACTGCAAACAATCTAGTAGCACCAATGCAGAATATGCATATCCAACAACAGCAACAGCAACAGCAACAGCAGCAGCAACCAGGGGTGCAGGTAAAGATCATATTTATCTACTACTGCCATTAAAATATTGACAACATGATATATAGAAACATCCTCATTCTCGACGTGTTTATCCTCAAATGCCAGCTATGCCATCATCCTCACCACAAGCTCCAATGCCACAACAGCAGCAGCAGCAGCAACAACAACAGCCAATGGCATCCCCTGCATCCAATGCTGCTTCACCACACACTCGAACAGCATCCGCTGGTGTTGGTTATACCCAAGGTCCTTACACTCACACTGGTCAACACCTACCACCTGAATTACGTCCACCACAACAACCAAGACCAAGAATTGATCCAGATCAAATGCCTGCTCCTGTACAAGTGCGTGAACAAGATCAATTGGTCTTTGGTGATAAGTTTTTTGGGACCATTGAACGTGATCGCGTCCCCTTGGCAACCACAAACTATATTGGATTGGACCAAGGTAAAGGAAAAAGAGGGTAAAAGAGGGTTCTTAGAGAAGGTAGTACTAAGCATACGTACATAGGCAATTGCAATCCTCGTTATATGCGTGCCACGGTGGATAAGATTCCATATTCCAAGGACCTTGCCGATTTATCAAAGCTGCCTCTAGGCTTGGTTGTTCAACCTTTGGCTAAGCAGAAAAAGGAAGAGGTGTCGATCCAAGTGGTTGATCATGGAGAAGAGGGGCCTGTTCGATGCACTCGATGTCGAGCTTATATCAATCCATGGTGTACTTTTACTCAAGGTGGATCACGCTTCATTTGCAACATTTGCTCGCATGTCAATGAAGGTAAGACATAGATCATCCATCAAAGTTGCAATCCATTGATTGTCTTTTTATAGTTCCTTCATGGTATTTTGCCAATATCGACATGTCAGGACGACGCGTGGATGCTGATCAGAAACCCGAATTGAGATATGGCTCCGTGGAATTTGCTGTGCCTGCTGAATACAACTCGACACGTTCGCCCACTGCATTGCATTATATCTTTGCTATTGATGTCTCAGCTCAAGCAGTACAAAGTGGAATGGTTCAAGCTTGCTGTGATGCACTGGAAAAGACGCTCTTTGCCAATGGTACAAGCCGTTTACCTGCTGGTGTCAAGGTTGGCATCCTTACGTTTGATCGTACAGTACACTTTTATAACTTGTCGGTAAGTATATGGAATTTCAATGATGTCAAGTACATACGAGATGGCTGATCCCCCTCGCTCTCTTAGTCGAGTTTATCGCAAGCCCAAATGCTTGTCGTGTCCGATATTGATGATATGTTTATACCTTTGCAACATGGCTTCCTCGTTGATCCTGCTGAATCAGCGTAAGTATCATGCATCAGTCAAAGGAATGCACTCGCTTATCACTCAATGGGATATTCATAGATCCGTTATTACCGATTTGCTGCAAAGCATACCCCACATGTACAAAGACAACATGCGACCAGAATCCGTATTTACTTCTGCCGTGCGAGGTGCATTGACAGCTTTGGTAAGTAAAGGTAGTGGATGATATTATGAGATGAAACTTGGGGTACTAAGGGATCTCCTTTAGAATAATACGGGTGGACAAGTATTCGTTTTCCAATCATGCCTTCCCAACCACGGTGCCGACATGTTACGACCAAGAGAAGATAAATCGCTATACAACACCGACAAGGAAAAGCAATTGTTCAATTCGCAAAATGACACTTACAAGGCATTGGGTGATGCATGTGTTGATAAAGCCGTGTGTGTTCACACATGGCTCCTTCCTTCTCAAAATGTCGATGTGGCGACTCTTGGTGTGGTGTCAACAATGACGGGTGGCGATGTGCGATATTATCCCAACTTTAATGGCAACAACGAGAGCAACAAGATTGCATATCAACTCGACCACGATGTTCATCGTGAGACTGGTTACGATGGTGTTGTACGCATTCGATGTTCTGATGGTATGTATTATCTTTTAGATGCGAAGGATGGATAACTCATGGCATGTGGATGTTGTTATTAGGCTTACAAGTGATCGATCATTACGGCAATTGTCGCATGAGCACCTATACCGATATGGATCTTGCTGGTATCGATGAAGATAAAGCATTCGCTGCGGTTCTTAAGCACGATAGCAAGCTTGACTTTTCTCGCAACGTATGCTTCCAATGTGCTATGCTATATACCACAAAAACTGGCGAGCGTCGTGTTCGTGTTCACAATCTCAGCCTTACTGCTACGAATCAAATTGCTGATGTTTTCCGTACCGGTGATGTGGATGCAACTATCAGCGTCATGGCAAGAAAAGGTACATAAAGGCATGCTTGTGGAACAGAGCGCTCATCGACTTATATACTTAGCTATCTTCGATTCCAAGCATAAGAGCCGGCGAGATGTTCACAAAAAGCTGACCGATGATTGTGTGGCTATTTTGACGGCGTATCGAACGAATTGTGCTGCAACAACATCCGCTGGTCAACTCATTTTACCCGAGGCATTCAAGCTCTTGCCCATATACGCACACGGTTTAATGCGTTCGCAGGCACTTCGTGGAGGTACTAAGCGTGGTATCCAAATGACGTTTTGATCATCTGACATTTCATCTTTTTCCTTTTATAGTGGGAGTGGATGTCAATTCAGACGTCAGGGTTGCATCCATGATGCTTTTCAATGGATTAGGGGTCTATGAATTAGTCTCAACACTTTATCCACGAATGATTCCAGTCACCAACATGCCTGAAGATGTAAGTGCGAATGTGTAGTACCTGATTACCCCCCCCATTCACTAACCACCGTTTCTGAATTTGGCTAGTGTGGTGTTATCGACTTGAAAGGACATGTCAAATTACCACCCATGATACGCACATCCTATGAACGATTAGATAGCAAGGGGGCATATCTACTTGGTAAGTTGAGAATCATCTCGCATATCATGCAAAAGATTGACCACGTGCACCCATAAAAGACACCGGTTCAGATCTCTACTTTTGGCTCGGCAATAGAGTTTCTAGCGAATTCATCCAACATGTATTTGGTGTACACACTCTTGATGAAGTGGACGTCAACATGGTAAGTTAATGTAGCTAACCCTTTGAGTTCTTATTAACGGGTGTCTTCTACTATAGGCCTTACTACCATTGCTGGACAACCCGCTCTCTGAAAAGATCCATGATATCGTGAGACAATTACAGTCTGAACGATCGCGTTACCTTCAGCTCCGCATTGTTCGGCAGGATATGGATCCACAGGAGTTTGTCTTTTCTACATGGATGGCAGAGGATCGTAATGCCGAGGTTCAAACATACGTCGACTACATGTGCGTGCTGCATCGAAAGATCCAGGATGAGATGAAGAAAAACAGTAATTATTAATGCCCCAACATCTATACGTCAACAAACAACAAATACATATTACATTTGATAGAAGCATTATGACATGTGTGTGCCTCTCTTTTGCCGTTCTTGTCCAAATCTATCAATCAACTTGGGTGGATAAACAACCAATCTCCCCTATCTTTGTATGATTCTTCGATCTACACTCTTCTTGTTGAATGTAAGCCAGGGTTTCCTTTCTTCTCTTCCACTTTTTCGAATCATCATCATCCCAATAATGGATCGCTTCTTTCTGCGAACAAGTATTATCGAGAAAGGTGCCGGTCTCTCACCTACCGGGGTTGCACCATGGGCTGATTCAAAGCAACGCATTGGTTTTATCAAATTACGACTCGAGCCTCCTGTACATTTTCAGAGTTGGCGTGATGTTATCGATGTATTCATGAATCACGAGTTTTTACGGGTGATATTGGCTATTGCTTGGATCATTGCCTGTGGGCTCATTGAATCGTTCCTGGCACAACTAAGTGATATGCGTTTTGCTGATATCAACTTTGACAAGGTAGTACTACTATTCCTACTTTCATCCAACGATATCCACTACCTTTGTTAATAACAGCAACATCTACTACTGTATGCAGCATACCTTGAGAGATCTATTACATGACGCATTCCCGAGAATCGAAAACTATCAGATCGTCAACTATTTGCTTCTCACTATCGTTTTATGCACGTTGTTGGGGTTCCTTTTGCAGTCACCAGATTGGACGATGAGATGGATCGTATTAAGGCGATGGCTGGTGATCATGGGATTCATTTACATCTTTCGCGGCATTTGTTTGGTGGCAACTACCCTGCCCTCTTCACGCATGAATGATTGTCAACCACCCGAGGTAGCTCTCCATGGGTCAGCAGCCGAAAGATTTGCATTCCTTTTCAATCAAATCGTTGGTGGTATCAGCCCGTGCACGGACAACATATTTTCAGGTCACACCTCGACCATGATGTCGTGTGTTATGGTGTGGCGTATTCATTCACGTTTAACAAGGCCTTTCACTTGGTTTATTTATCTCCTTTTCATCGCTGCGGTGCTTATCATCCTTTTCACCCGATTCCATTACACGGTGGACGTAATTTTGGCTATCTGTAAGTGCAAAGAGGGAGCAGCAACAAGAGGTGAGCAATAACAGTAGCGCTTATTTTATTAGACATTAGCTATTCGGCTTGGTACATTTATATGAATTGCATCCAGGAGGCAGTACAAAGGGCTGTGTTTGGGTTTCAACATCATTCAACTTTGGATCTTTTTCGTTCTCAATTCAACTCGTTTGATGCGTCAGCTATCTACGCTTATTTAACTTGGCAGCCAAACCCTATTCCTTCAGCATGGCTCATTCACTTGATCAGTTACTGTGATGGTTTGGACATTCGCTTACGTGCTCTCGGGATATTGGATGAACATGGCAACCCGCGTCGTGAATCATTACAACTTGTGGATGTACATCAAATGACGACCGCTGCGAATATAAATGGAGGAATGGAACCTCACCAACAGCCCATGCAGTCGTTGCCTGTGTAATGGATGATAATCGTCGACGATGTATTCTATATACTTTTACGCTCTATAAACCTATTATTACTCCTTTGTATGTATACATAATCCCCCCTTGCATTATGCTGTGGCGTGCGAGTAGTAGTAGTTGTGTAACATCCTGCTGTCAAAACCACTCCCACCCCCTTTCAATCCATCTCTTCTTCTCCTTTTTCCCCATTTCCCTCTTTTCAATGAAACGTTGGATTGAAGCTTTCAAGAGATTGTGTGGATTTGGACGTCCTGATTGCTTTGCAATTATTATCTTAATGGCCATGATCGCATGCTATGGCACAATGAGCAAATCGATTATCAACACGCCATGGTTCTTATCGTTTATCAAAAGAGCGATGCATCATGTAATCAGCAATCCAAAAGTACCACCACCATCATCATCAGCTATTGTAGGCGCCAACAGTAAACGCAAGCCAAGGAAGCGAGTGTTTATAAAAAGTAAACAATGTTTCACTTGTTTTGTCGTTCGTTTATATACCTTTTTCTCACAAGGCTATTCATTGCAGCTGTAACACGAATGGGTCCCAAAGGCATTCGGATGCGAAGTTGGGTCATCGACATTCGACGAAACGATTTGACGCGGCTAGCGTATGTGAATAATGAAAAGCGACAAAACGACCACCACCATGCATTACTAGTCTTTGTTGATTTTGATCGAACATTGACGATACCTCGACCCATTGCAGTTTCCCACCAATTAATCACGTGCAGACCACCACCATTATTACAAACGTTGGGAGTGGGACTATTTTATCAGCGATACCATCAGCAACAACAACAATGGCACACTCGCCCGCATCCATGCATACCTTTCTTTCGCCAACAACGTTCGCCCATAAACGATCCAATCCCCTAATTTTAGCCATCTCGCATTGTATATTGCAGCATACTGTTTTCCCCTCTTGTACCATATTCTTCCCGCCAAACACAACCACCATCATCATGAAAACAAATGAAGAAGCCAAAATTGTGGTTTGATCATGGCTTTTTTTTTCTACACCTTTCTTAGTGTGAACGCATGGCCCCCCGTTTTTGGATCGGCATTAAAGCGAGCGGCAAGTCTTATTGAGAATCGGAATCGGCACAACCAAGAAAAGGAGATGGTCTGAAACGGGTGGTGGATTTACACAGGTTACACACAAGCTCCGCAATAAATGTGTTTCCAAGTAGTTCTACGGAAGAAGTGTACAAAGAACTGGGAACCTACCCATCACCCGCCATCCACGATTGTCATCGATAAAAGATCAAGGTATGTGATAGAATAAATGAGATAGCAGCTGGTGGCACATTACAAATGCAATGATAATCATTGTCACGGGACATTACACTATAAAGGCAAAAAAAGGGGGGCCAAACATGCAATCTTGAAAATCTTAGGTTTATGTACTTCCGTTTTCCTGTGGTTGTTCTCATGTTGTATTCTTTTCAAATCTGATGGTAATGGTGGCACACTAACAATATTGTAACATTGGTGCGAATGACTGGGGCACGTGAATGCGGCGTATCATGTGCGCAACATGTAAATCTGCTCATCAGCATTCTTTTTTGTTTTGTCATGTTGGGCAACACCACCACCCAAAGGCTACACAACAAGGTGTTCATTGTGCTTCTCCCGGACCAGATCGATTTGGTCCGACTACTTTAATTGTTCCAAGAAAAAGAAAGCGAGGGAAACCATGTATGCAGTGCTGCTGATGCTGCGTTATCTCTTTCGGGAATATGGGTTCCCGATAACACGGTTCAAGTATAAAAAAAGGTCCATGCGCACATTCTTTTTCTTTCCCTTTCCTTTAACACACTCGTGTGGTGAATTTTCTAGTTTCCACAAAATGCCATCCGATCCACAACATCCACAACAACCCCTCACAGCTGAAAATGTGGCACAATACTTGCCATTGTCTGGTCACCTTCCCAAGATCCCTGGCCGTATCATTAATGTCACTCACCAAATCCCATATAACATTATACGTTCACCACCTACCATGACCTCGTTGGATTCAACCCAACAACCACCTACCCCACCTTATTCCCCTCCTTCCACTTCTTTTTTGGGATCACTGCAACAGGATGTATCCGACGAAGAAACAAGTGGAAACAGCAGTAGCAGTAGTAGCGATGGTGGTAATGGTAGTAGCAATGATCTTTTCCGCCAAATGCAAGCATCTCGTTTTCAACATCATCATCATCATCAAGAACATTCACCTGTATCCTCTGCACCGATATCCAAGTTGGCAAGACACCATAGACGCACAGGCACATTGCGTGTCAAGTTCCATGCAGCCGATTGGACCGTTGTACAAAGCCGTGGACACGGGGCCCTTTATGCAGGGCTACAAAGCCTGAGTCAACATTGGGAAACGATTCACATTGGTTGGACTGGTCCTATTCGCATCGCACATAGCAAAAAGACGGTCCCTTCCGAGGACATTGATCCTGCTGATAAGAAGAAACTTGAGACTTTGCTTTGGGAAAAGGGACGCATCGTTCCCATCTTTTTGGATAATAAGGCTAATGGCCATTACGAAGGTTATTGTAAAGAAGGTATGTAAGGCGCCAACAACAAGGAAATAGGGAATAATACATGGTGCTCATTATGATGGTGGATATAGTGCTATGGCCATTGCTTCATTATCTTGTATGGAACAAAGCAACCGATGGCCGTGCTGAAAAGCAAAATTGGCATGACTATGTGGCAGTAAATCAACAATTTGCCAATACTATCGTAGCCCATTACCGACAAGGCGATATTAGTAAGTCTTTCATAAGCACACACACATTCGAGTCTAGGCACTAAGAGGAGAAAAAAAACCATGCAATAGTTTCAATCCACGACTACCACTTGCTATTGGTTCCCGAGATGGTGCGAGCACAAATACCCGATGCAGCGATTGGCATCTTCATTCATGCAACTTTTCCCAGCTCAGAAATCTTTCGATGCCTTTCTGGTAAGTGGTAAAGAATGGAAGATGACTTTTGTACGTGTGTTGTTGACAAAGCAAATTAAATTTGTAGTACGAAATGAGATCTTGAGTGGCATGGTGGGAGCTGATTTGGTTGGTTTCCAGGTATGACAGTGAGTTGGGTGGTGCTACAATGCTTGCATTCGTGTGGGTATATGCTGACTTTTATATACCTATTAGACTTATGCATACGCTCGCCATTTCATTTCTTCATGTACGCGTGTATTGGGTTACGAGTCTACTTTGGTGGGTGTCAATGCCAATTCACGTCAAGTATCGGTTGGCACATGGCCTATTGGTATTGATGTGGATCGTATCAATCGTTTCAGAAAGGAGCCAGGAGTACAACCCAAGATCCAAGCTATTCGCGACATGTATATGGGCAAAAAGATTATCATTGGACGTGACAAATTGGATCAAACCAAAGGCGTGCTTCAAAAGCTACATGCCTTTGAGCAATTTTTGCACGATTATCCCGAATGGCGTAACCAAGTGGTGTTGATCCAGGTGACAACGCCTACAGTACATGGCATGAGCAAGCTTGAGACGAAGGTGTCTGAGACCGTCAGCCACATTAATGGTCTTTATGGATCGCTTGAATTTACTCCCATCCACCATTATCATCAAGACATTGATCGTGACGAGTATTATGCATTGCTATCGGCAGCCGATGTTGGTCTTATTACAAGTGTACGAGATGGCATGAACACTACCTCATTTGAATTTATCATTTGCCAAAGTGAACAACACGCACCTCTTATCCTCTCTGAATTTACTGGTACGGCCGGATCTCTTAGTGCAGCACTCATGGTCAACCCTTGGGATTCAGCAGGCGTGGCGCGAGCTATTAATGAAGCTCTATGCATGTCACCTGAAGAAAAGCATACTCGTCACCTGGTATGTGATCCTCATCATGGTATACCTACCTTTAAAGCTAACCTTCATCTTACGTTAGCAACTTTACAATCACGTTACAGCACACACTGCAAGCTTTTGGGCTCATTCATTTATCAAGCACCTGGTTAGCTGCACCGAGAAAAGGACCCTTAGGTCGCATGAGACGCCCGCATTGGACCGGACCCGTTTAGTGGATGCGTACAAACAAGCTAAGAAACGCCTCATGTTTTTTGACTATGATGTAAGTTTTGCGTTTTTGAAATGATAGAGAAGGAGGAAAAAAGCTCATTGCATATTATTGTAGGGTACACTTACACCGATTGTGTCTGTCCCATCGGATGCAAAGCCATCAAAACCTGTTCTCGAACACCTGCAAAAGCTGTGCAATGATCCTCGCAACGAAGTATGGGTTATTTCAGGACGTGATCAACAAACATTGGATGATTGGCTTGGCAGTGCCATTACCAATATTGGATTGAGTGCAGAGCATGGTAGTTTCCTCAAGACCGCCAACGCTGGTCGCTGGGTCAACATGCTGGATGATGTCAACATGAGCTGGAAACAGGATGTCACTGAGATCTTTGAATACTATACTGAAAGGACACAAGGGAGCTTTACTGAACACAAAAAGTCATCCATCACTTGGCATTATCGTCTTGCGGATGCTGAATATGGGTAATGTATCTTTATCTTCTTTTCATTAAGAGCTGCATCTAATGCCAATGTCTACGTATAGTGCCTTCCAAGCTAAAGAATGCCAAAACCATTTGGAGAATGCCATCGTATCAAAGCTGCCAGTGGAGATCCTTCTTGGTAAAAAGAACATTGAAGTACGACCTGCATCTATCAACAAGGGTGAAATTGTCAAGCGTATCCTAGCACAACATCCCGATGCCGACTTTGTCATTTGTGCCGGTGACGATAAGACTGATGAAGACATGTTCCGCACACTTGCAACCAGCTCGATCCATGATACATTTTCAGTTACTGTGGGCTCACCCGAAAAGAAGACGTTGGCAAGTTGGCATGTCCGATCCAGCGGTGATATCGTGGATGTATTAGGCCAAATGGCATCAGCATAAAAAAAGTTACAATTCTCTTTTTGCATTCTGATTTGAATCATCATCATAGTCGTATCATGTTTCCTCATCCTCTTTTATTACATGTCAAATAATACATCACTATTTTTCTGCATACGTTCCATGTTATTGTTCATCCATCTTCTCATCTTCTTGTGGTTTGCCGTTCATGGGTGGTTGAAAAACTGATTCCAGATGTCTTAATGCAGCTTGTTGTACTTCGGTTAACTCTGCCTCGTCGCTAGGATCCGCAAAGAACTCTGATTCATCTTCAAGTGCTTCTTGTTCAGCCATGAATTCTTCATCTGGATGCAATGCAGCACAATCAGACAAGGCCATGTAGATTCCTTCCACTATATATATATATATATATATAACGATCCATGATCAGCAAAGATACCATCATCATCTACCACAATTGATCAATTCTTACATGCACCAGTATCTTCAGGCATAAACTTGAGCTCGGTCACAATATCTTGTTCATCTTCATCCTCGGGTAGTTGTTGGTTGGGGAAGAATCGACCAGCTTCCAATTGACAATAGATGCAAGGGCGTTCTTCTCGTCGTGAAATAGCATGGATGATGATATCTGGGTAGTCCACTGCAATACCCGAATTGGCACTAGTAGAATAAAAGTATACTTGGCTACACACTATCAATAATGCGTCAACAACAAAACGCGACCTTGTACACTACCTCTCGCATACATAAAGATCACCACGGATCGGCTCATTGACACCGGCCAAGGGAGGCAAGACAAGTAGATCAGTGTCCTTTTGAGTATGTCGTACCACCTGATCAGAGAGATCGGGAGCTGCCGAAAGCAATGTCACCGTCATTATATAAAGTGGTGTATGTGTGGGTGAGTCGTGTACAAAATAGAAAGAAGGTTGGGCTTCAAATGGAGCTGGGTGTGATATAGCTCCCACCACCAATTGATTCAGCCTCGAGAATGAATTCCATCACCATGGTAACCCCCTTAACCCAAACAAAGACCACTGTTTCCATGGTAGCATGTAGAATAGATAATTGCGTTTTGAGAACAAGTTACAAATATGAATGCGGGAAGTATATATGTGTGTTGTGCGTGTGCGTGTGCGTGTCGATACAAGATGTCAATGTGTGTATAATAGGAGAGCGAGATAGATATGCAGAGACAAAAGAGATATGCAAAAGGTTTCTAAAAGACGGTACCCTTCTTTTTGGATTTGCCGGGAGCCTTTCTACGAATAGCCTTCTTCTTCTCAGCAGCTCGTTTAAGTTGACGATAGGAAGGAGTCATGTCGTTTTTGCTATCGGTATCCATCATATCCTTGTTTTGATCCTTCTCCTTCTTCTCTTGTCCTGATGCTTCATCATCCATAAAGTCTCCAACCTTGGGCTTCAAAGCTGCCTTGGCTTGTGCTTCAGCTAACCGGGCAAGACGTGCATCCTCCACCGGCTTGAAAACTTCCTCACGCTTGATAGCTATCAACATGAACGATCTCGAGATCAGTTACCTTGCTTCCCCTTCTCCATTTAACCACACACTCGATATCGCACAAGCGTGAATTACCTCTGTATCGTTTCTTGGTATGCGATCGTAAACTGCGGCCCATAGTGCTGTATGTGTCAAGAGGAGAGAAAAACTTGCTTGCCGTACAAAAAATCAAATAAATCCAGCTGTTGCCAGCCACCGCCCATCATTGGCTTCTATTTCAGATCCAGCAGGCCGATTTATCATGCCTGTAATTGGATCATCATATAATGCTAAAGTGCGCAATCATACAATTATACCACCATGACAGGATCTTGTGTATGTGAACAATAGCGATAGATAACAGTAGATGATAGTTATTTTCATGACTTTATGATGCATGTTGACATTGGTCCTAAGTTTGGCTATACCAATGGTGGCGGATTCATGCATGATGGAAGATACCAGCACACCTAAAAAACAACTCTTCGATGTAAATATGGCCGTTGATTGAAGCAGTGCCACATGATGTTCAGCTTTGATGATGCCGTATCATTCATCATCTACCACATAATACAATCCATGTTCACAATGCATTGCGTACAGTATGTCACAACTTGGTTGAGTGATGCGACCGAAAATCATGATCGAGCAAGTAACAGGGTGGATAGCTGGGTGGAAAAGGGAGCATATAAGCAGCGATCGGGTGACTCTTTTGATCAGCATATTAAACTTGCAATTACTAGGATAGATGAATGTCACAAATGCAGTGACGAAAATGGTTCAGGTTACTTGGCATGTCGTCGTCAGGAATGATTGGTCGTATCACGTAGTAGATAACCTCGCTTCCCGATCTTCTATTTCTATTCCCTCTTTCAAACCAGAAAGCAACCAAGTAATCTACATCTTGCCCATACGAGCTGCTAGCATGATACCCCAAAATAGTAGTACGTTCAATCCAATTTTCATTCAATGACAAAGCTGAAGAATAGTATATAGTAGTGAGGGTGTCTATCAAGTAAATCTGGTAAAGGGACAGCATTGCAAAGATACGAGGGGTGAATCACATAGGGTCCACAGGGATAATGGTTTCATTGCATTCTTGGTCGTTGTCGTCTCAAGCGTCTTGATCCATGATTGCAAAATAGCTGATGCATGCATTGAATCGAGTACTCCAATACCGTCCATCCATGGTTGTACAACACCGTTCGTCAAAGATAGAGCCCTTTTGTCAATTCCATCCAATCCATCATCATCCTCAGTCATATCCACGTGATAGAATCCATCGTTCCTGCTGAAGACGCTTAAAGTAACCAAAGCAACATTCCATGGTTCACCATCACTGCACTTGATTGCATCCCTCCATCCGTAACCATTGCAAATCCAATATGTTGGTTGAAAAGGGCCATGTGATCGCTGCATGCTTCCATTTCCATCCTGCTGTTCATCTCTCTCTTTCTTGGGTCACTTTCCATCGCTGCTCAACCAGGTGAAGAATTGCTTGTATTGCGGCGTCTGGATAGCTGATACGGATCATCCCTTGGTATCCGTACGTATCAAAGCAAGCTGCTGTACGTAAATAATGCGATTTCCATACAATGGCTATCTGCTGTTCATGTAAAAAAGGACTGCAAAGCAATGCTGCATACAAATAACGCTTTTCGAGACAATGAAATAAAGGCCTTTCTTGTAGCAGCTGCTGCTACGGTTGGTCGTGGCAGAGGAGCGTGCAAGAGAGCGTGTGTTGTAGTAGAGCGACAAGGCTGTGAACGTGGTTTGAGACAATGGAGTAAAAGACCTTGCTAATGGCAACTGCTGGAATGAATGCTGTTGCGTTTGATCGTGGTAGGGAAGCGTGCAAGAGCGTGTATTGTGTCAAGCGACTCGTGTGTTGTAGAAGCAAGAAGGTCGTCTACACGCCATGCACTTGCCATTCAGTCAAAGACAATCGAATCAAGACCAGTTGTAGGATGGACATGATGGTTGAAGCAGGACAATCATTCGTAGGTGGTAGTTGTATACTTGAATGGGGCAACAGTTGGGAATGGCGGGAGGAAGAGACAAGAAGCAGGGAGAGGAAGAACTGGATTTAGATTTTTCTCAAGTTGGATGGTGTTTCTTTGTTTTGGCGTTGTTCAATCAAATCCCCTCGGTTCGAGAAAGTTGAAGGATGGAAATGATGGGCTGGAGCAGAGGAGTCGTTCACATGCATTGGATTGGGTAACAAAGTTGAATGGGAGGAGGGGGCTGCTAGCTGGCAGTTTACAAATAACTAAGAGATTAAATTTTTCTCAAATTGGACGATACTTCTGTGCTTGGACCGTAACTCATCCAAATCAGCTCGGATCGAGAAAGTTGAAAGATGGACATGATGGGCTGGAGCAGGACAATCGTTCACATGCATTAGATTGGGCAATAAAGGTGAATGGGAGGAAGAGACTATTAGCTGTAATTTATGAATGGTTACTAAATAGTGTAAAAGTATCATGCATGAACCCTTCAGGTCCGTCCGATCGCCTGTGTTACACAAAGAAGTCCATCTGCATCTTTGACTCTCTCAGGTCTACCTACTCGACAATGAACAAAGACCACTTGTCATATAGCATCACGCTTACAACATAAAACGCCCCTATCCCAAGATTTCACAATCAAACGTGGGGTTTTGAATAGAGCAATGTGCTCGGCTTGGCCAACAGCACCTTGTGTGAAAGTTTCAAGTTGATCGTGGCCAATCCCAGATTTCGCAATGTCGCTACCAGCCAAACTGGATCTGGGGGTCGACCTCTTCAACGACGACGATGACCAAAAAATATTTTTTTGGGTTGTTTGCGACATTGAACGTGAAACTTTCACACAAGGTGCTGTTGGCCAAGCCGAGCACACTGCTCTATTCAAAACCCCACGTTTCATTGTAAAGTTTGGAGATACATGCACCTTTATGTTTGTAAGCGTGATGCTATATGAGAAGTGGTCTTTGTTCATTGCCAAGTAGCTACACCCTGGAGAGCCAAAGATGCAGAAGGACCTCTTTGGGTAACTCAGCTAAAAAGTCAGGACTTCAGGGACAATGCATGAAAGGTACGCAACCCTCACTTTTATGTCATACATTGGCAGCCAATAGCCACTTTTGTGCATTCCCAACTTTTGTGCATTCTATTGTAGGTGGACGATGCTCCTGCTCTAGACATTCATTTCCATGATTAAAGTAGGTTGATCCGAGCTGATTTGGTTGAGTTACGCCTACACAAGGTTACATCGGTTGAGCTACATCGAGCGTGCTCTATGTAGCAATACGTAACTGAACGAAGTACAAT